GAAGGGACAGGAAAGAGGGTGGCCAAAGAGAAAAGGCAGAGAGGACAGGAGGGGAATGAAGAGTGGGGACAGGAGCACTGAGTATGGGGTGGCCTTCCTGGGGTTCCACAGGAGGGACAGAGGCCTAAGCTCTTTGTATTGTGCACCTGTTGCCCTCTGCCCACACTAGGAGCCCTGAGGCAGGAGCAGGCATCACTTCCTTCCTTGTGCCTCTGGAACTTTCTGCCCTACGACATGGGGAGCCATTTGCTCCCTGAGCATAGCTGCAGTGAATCACCTGGCCACATCCCTGTGACATTCATTAAAAATCTGACCTTAGATGCTTTGTCTGCTGATGCGGAAAATATAAAAACAAGAGCTCAGTGAAAGAATAACGTGAGGACGGAATTTTCTTTCAACTCTATTTATCGTCTGTTTTGACCTACTTCAAGGCAAGAAAAAGAAAACCTCTCCCTCTAATGTTAACTACATATTCTGTACAAACCAAATGTGAAAATAAAATGCAATCTTTGTTCGGCTTCAAACCTCTCTCGTTTTTGTTCAACAAATGAATAGAGTTTTATGAACACTTATTTTTCGCCTCTTGTTCTTTTAAATTTTGTTCTCACAATAGCACCCACAGACAAATTCCTTTAATTTCCTTGTATTCTGGCTGTGAAATAAAATCTGGGCTCCAGAGGATCCAGAAAACGATAGCTTTCCAACAGAAACTTGAATGCAATCAACACGAGGGAACGACTCTGTAAGGACGTCTTTGAAAATGCCGGACATCAATTCAATTGAGTCCTAGGACAAAAACAGCCTGAGGAGATAGGCGCGTAATTTGTGATGTTCGTCTTCATAAATCTTTTCAGAAGTGATACAGCGGTGACCACTAGAGGACGACGAGGGAGGGAAAGACGGTGCTGAGCCGCCTCCCAGAAAGTGGTGGGTTTCATTCAGAGGTGGCAGCGGAGACCAGGAGAAGCTACTGCTAGAATAAAGGCCTTGGAATGAGCCGCTGCAGTCAGACACAGCAGCCCTCATGCCTTATGGTGATAGGTTCCTGACCTTGGGACAGTCCTACGCTCTAAGTGAGCTCAGTGAGGGGGGCCGGTGTATGGGGTGTCCCTGTCCACTGAGACGCTGGTGGCATTGCTTCTTAGGACCTGAGGCCACTAGTGGGGTGCAGGGGGATGGTAATTGTTTTCTTCCCTCTTTCTTATCTCTGTCTTTAAGTGGCATTATTTAATATCGAAGATTTTGCTTTAGTGTTGCATCCCACTGAATCTCATTTTTTGACAGGGCCAAATCACAGCTTGTCATTTTTTTACATATCACTCTAACAAGACATAATGTTTTAAAGTCTGGAAAATGTATTTCACTAGGACAACAGCTCACCTGACCCTGTCTCACTTGCACTGACTAACCATCCTCCTGCCTCCCTCAGGCACACCGGGATGTAGGCAGAGTAGTAGGGAGATCCCAGAAGAACAGAGAGGGGAGGTTTGATATGGTTTCTACCCTTTAGGTTCTTAGTGGCTAACTGAGGCATGTGATTGTTGAATGTATAGTATTTAATGACTGAATACACACAGAGTGAGAAGCCACAGGGCAGGAGGTCCAAGAGCTGGTGGCCTGAATAAGGGCCAAAGAAACATCAGAAATGACATTATGAGATGAAGCCTAGCCTACAGAAAATGATTGAACTAACAAACTGGTTCCAAAAGAAAAAAGAAAAAAGAAAAAAGAAAGAAAGAAAGAAGACAAAAAAGAGAGAGAAGAAAACATCAAGAAGGAAGAAGACAGAGAAAAGAGGAGAAGGTTATAGATTAAAACAGATTCAAGAAGCAAATCAACCAATGGCAATGGAGACCCTTCTCTGGATCCTGGTTTAAACAAAGTACTAAAACAAAATTGTGAGCAATCAGGGAACTTTCGATACTGACTAGACATTAGAAAATGCTGATGAATTATTTTTGTTTAATGGCTGGTAATGTAATGTTTTGAGGTTATGTTTCAAAAGAAAGAGTTTTTATCTTTCAGTGTGAATCTTTGAGAAATAAACACAGAAACATTTGCAGTTGCAGTAACAGGGCTAGTATTCCTTATCCAAAATGCTTGGGAACAGAAGTATTTCAGAGTTCAGAGTTTTCTCAGATATTGGAATATAATATTAGGCAGTGATGTACAGGTTGAGTAGTCCTTATCTGAAATGCTTGAGACATTCAAAAAGTGTTTTGAATTTAATTTTTTTTGGTTTTGGAATATTTACATATACATAATGATATATCTTGGGAACAAGATCCAAGTTTAAACATGAAATCTGTTTGTGTTGCATATACACCTTATACACATAGCCCGAAGGTAATTTTATATAATATTTTTGTATTGCAGAGTTTTAACTGTGCCTCAGAACATGAGGTTGTGTGGAATTTTCCACTTATGACATCACGTTAGTGCTCAAAGAGTTTTGCATTTTGGAACATTTCAGATTTAGGATTTTCAGATTAGGGATGCTCTAATAATACATGGAATTTGTTTCCACCTAATCTGGATGGGAATGTGTAAGGTATGGATGAAACAGGACAGGCAATGAATTGATAGGTCTTTGTTGTTCTGGTTATAGGTTGTGTGTGCATGTGAAATAAAGGGGGAGGGAGAAGACATCCCCCAACAGGGCCTGGTCATGCCACAATCCCTCTTTCTGTCCATTTTCCCATCTTATCAGGATCCTGATCATATATGCATGTACCTAGCACATTTTTCAAGGCCACCAGGGCCAGGATTTGAACCACAGTTAGCCATGTGGGATATGATTCACTCTGCACAATGTTTTTAACCACTGAACTATGGTGCTGGCTCAGTTCAGTTTTTGAAAGTGGGCGATGGGTATGGAGGTACATTATATTTCACTTTCATATATGATTGATGTTCTCCATCATTAAAAAAATTAAAAAGAGCTATTGGAAGGCAGAGAAAATGATGTTCAGTAGGAGAGAATGGGTAGAAAAACTTCAGAGAGTAGGTGGGTTTGAGGGGTACAGATTACTGCAAAGAAGGTGTATCCCAGAGAGGCAGAGTAGAGAGAATGCAGGATTGGGAGTCAGATGAACCTCTTGGCAAATACTATGGTTGCAACATCATCCTAACATGTTCAGAGGACATCAAACTAGAGGTTTTCCAGGTACATACAGAAACAAAAAACAGAAGATAGCTTTGCTTCTACAACCATAAAGAGATCACACAGTAAATCCCAATTCTACTCACCATGTTCTTTTAGGCATGTAGAGATGACATTTTTATATTTAAATATTATTAGAATTTGCGAACTACAAGCAAAATTTGTCTCTTCTACTGCTATTAAAAATAATATTTTATCCATCTAGCAATTTGTCTCTTTGAATAAATCTGTCTATAAAAGCAATTTGGTAGTACTTCCTTTCAAAACAGAACCTTGAGTCTTGGACAATGTACCAGGACAGCAATTGGTATTGCTGACATAATTTGCCACCACATGACTCCTGCAAAGATTCACAGTTGTTTATCTGTTCCACTAATTGACTGCCTCATGAGTCAGATAGCATTCTCCACGATTACTCATTATCTATGAAGATTTCTCTAAACCCATACACTGCTTAACACAACTGCTGTCAGGCAAGTACAAGTGATTTGTGAATTAGCACACATAATACTGTATCTACATATATCTATGTAGATACCTACATATATCTGTGAAAAAATACATGAAAATGTTAGCCTTTCCAGTTTTGTTAATAGTTAATGACAATATTGGTTAATAGAAGTAATTGTAGAGACATCCGTGATAGTAGCAGGTGTCTGTCAGAGGACTGATGTCTCCCCAGCATACTCACTGAGCATGGTTAGGTTAGGACACAGAAAGGAAAAGGACATAAAATGGAGAATTCCACAATATGAACATTCTATCTATGACAGTCTTTAAATTGTTTTTGCCTTTAGTAAATTCATTTAATCTACAACCCAGAGAAACAGATACTCTTTTTGTAATTAGACTTATTATCATGAGGCTTAAAGATGTTATTGTCAAGTACGGGAGATGAACTCATTAAATTATTGTGGGCCCATTTCCAATAGGACAAACTATCAATTTCCACATGAAAAAAAAAAACAGTGATGTGGACTAATATATTTTTGTGGCTCTTGCTAAGTCCCCCAACCTTAGAGGCACTATGGGAATGGTCCATCGTGGTTGGGGTGATGATTCAAAGGAGGAGTTGGGATGGTTTGAAAGCTTCCCCAGAGCAGGCCAACAGTGTTCTGTCAATATTACGGCAAGATCATTGCAACATTATTCACAAGAGACAAGACATGGAAGCAAACTAAGTGTCTGCCACCATATGAATGAATAAAGAAAATGTATCATATACACAATGGAATGCTGTTTGACCTTAAATAAAATTTTGCTTTTTTGTGACATCATGAATGAACCTAGAGGATATTATGCTAAGTGAAATGAGCCAGGCACAAAAGGACAAAGATTGCATAATCTCACATATATGTGGTATCTAAAACAATTGAAGCCATAAAAACAGAGCAGAATGGTGATTCCCCAGGGCTCTGGGTCGACACTAGGGAGACATTGATCAAAGGACACAGAATTCCAATTAGACAAAAAGAATATGCACAAGAAATCTATTGAATCTATTGTGCATCATGGTGACTATAATACATAGCCAGGTATTATTGGGTTGTCAAAATTATCATTACTCATTTTTTTCTATGTTTTCTTGTACAAAAATGCATCATGACTTTTTTGATGACAACCCAATAAATACGTGGAAATTGCTAAGACAGTAGATTGTAAGTGTTGTCAACATAAAAATTATTGAGGTAATGCATATATCAATTAGTTTGATTTAGCCATTCCAAAATATATACATATTTAAAAACATATTGTGCATCCTATTCACCAATTGGAACAATAATTTAAAAGAGTTCACTGGGAAGAGAGATCACAGTCACACCTGGAGACTCCTTACCTGGAGGTAATGGCATGGCCTCAAGGAAGGCTTGATTTCCTGGTGGACCAGGGGCTTCTCCAAGTTCAGAGAGCTCTTGCGGTAGGCTTCCTTGGCCTGGCTCACCGTGAGTGTGGACCAGGAACTGCGTTTCATGTACTTGGCATCGGGGGTCAAGGCTAAGCCCTCACAGGCTGAGCACTTGACATCATTATTACTTTTGGAAGTCTTCAGTGACAGATCCCCAAAAGGGCTCTGCAGTGTCTCCGGGTAGCAGTGGGAAATGTGATCCACATGGTGCCGGTTAATCACGCTGGGTGTTCGGTAGGTGCTGTCACTGTCCAGGTTGTCGTCAGAACTCCACCAACTGCTCATGCCAGATTTATGCTTGGTCTCGGGCTTACGTTCCTTACTTTTACTCCTTTTACTGTGTTTAGAGTGGTGGCCATGGTGGGCGTCATCTACTCTGCTGTCACCCTTGGTCCCATTGACATTACTCTTGGAAGAACCTTCTAAAGAATGTGACTTGGTGAAGAGTTTTTGGACAGAATGGACGAGGTGTCGTATTCTGCCCGGACTCTCACTGCGCTGTTCTGCGGCAGTCGAAGTCCTCTGGTATTGTAAAGTATGGAATCCATCCCGGTGGAGAGGGAGCTGTTTCTCAAACTGGTCCAAAAGATTAGCTGGAATACGATTGATTTTCGTGCTAGCATGAGACATGGCACAATCGTCCCTTGTGTCATAATGGGAGCTGTAATGCATTCTGGGGAAGGTGCTACTGGACATGTGGTCACCCAGCACCACCGGCATCATCATACACTCTGAGTGGATGGAGCTCCTGGGGGAGCAGCGGTGGTGGTCCATAGGGCAGCTCTCTGTTGGGCTGAGCAAGTAGGACTGTCTTGTATCCGGCCCATGGTGAAGGTGGTCGTGTGTGTGCTCACAGTCTTCAGGGGGTGTTAAGCCACAAGTATGACCAGAACATAACTGTGGTTGGGTTCGACTTCCAGATAATCCTTTCATATTCCTGGGAGCAGGGGAGTATCTTTCTTCATTGAAGTGCTGAGTTGGTGACCATGAGTACTGCTGGTCTGTTGACAAAACACAGAAATGGCATTTAACCCTTGGTGGAAATCCTCACATGTTAGAAAACTAAACCATCTGATATTCCATACACAAATGGTCTTGTTCCAGTAGTCAGAGTCCAGTTGTGGTCTGGGCATTCAAGTGGACAACACTATTGATTTTTAATATTGCATTGACTGCTCCAAAGTATGAGAATATAAAAAAGAGGAGACTTGAGTATTCCCTGATGATATTCTATAAAGACAAATATTTAATGTCTAATGGATTCATCAGGTCACTTGACAGTCAGATTTTGTGGTAGCAGAAAAAAAAAAGTTGGGGAAAAAAAAAACCGTAGTTGTATTTTAATCACATTTGGGTATTGTGGTTCAGCTTAAGAAGTTTGAAAAATAACATCTGGTATTTAATTAGTAATATTGTCTGGCAAGCCAATGTGCTACACATCAATGTGTTAATCATGGAACTGTTTGTTTACAGTCACATCCTCACCTGGCAGGTAAGGAATAGAGGTGGCTCTCTCAAAACTGTTTGTCTATGTAGGGTTTGGGCTCATGACAGAGACATGGGATGCTGGTCAGGGCAACTGCCTCACCTCCACTGTCTGTAAGGATGGACCTCCATTCTCATGAGCTGACCGAAACTGAACTCTGAGCTTTTAGATTCTTTCTAGGATGGACCCATAGGCTATCTCCTGGGCCTTCTGCCTCAGGGCTTCTTCCCACCTGTTTTTCTGTAGAAATGAGCTTCTAAGTCTCTATTTCCTTTATCTCTTTGGCTACTAGTCAGAAGTGAAATCTAATCTGGGCTTGAATCAGAGACAATTGGGCAGAGGAAGCAAAGAGTAAGCCATGGGCTTCTGTAGTAAACTATGGAATATAATCACTTTAGTATAACAAATCCTGAGCTTCAGAAATACTAAATGAATTTAAGGCAATAACAATGGCAGCAATAATAATATTGCTAATATACATTGATTGCCCTTCTATTTGGGATACTTTCTACTCATCTACCACAGTGTCCTGTGTCCCCATCACACAATCAAGGAGACAGAAGTATAGCAAGTTAGATAACTTGCCTAGAATCACTCCATCTGGTGAGGCAGAACCAGCAGGCCATCTCCAGAGGCTGGCAATTCAACCACTGCACCCCCAATGGCCTCCATCATAAGAAGCCCTGTGGTATTGAATGAAAAGAAATGGGGAACTGGCTTTAGAGAGGCAAAACAGTTCCTTTTCGGGTCCCATTTCTCTTGCCACAACCACAGCCCACTTCCCCTGAGAGAGCAAAGGCCATGTTCTTTCCTGCCCACGTTCCTCCTGCCATTGGCCCATGTACAGCTTTCTTGACTTGCAGGGAGGACTGATGCTGAGGCTATGATACAGTGTGGCCTGTTCTACCACAACTGAGGAAGAGAATGACAAGGTACCTTGCTCCCCCTGTCTTTCCCTGGAATGGCTGTAAACATCTGGGAACCTTTGGTAGGAGACCCTCAGCCCTTCCGCCATCCTCTGTATCCTTCCCTTCTACTTGCTTTCATGTTCAGTTCCTCCTTTTACTTCGATTCTGGTTTTCACCTTGCCAATGTCAGACAGCTTGCCCTTCAACCTTTGCTCCCATCTCCTTCATTTCAGGGCCCTTCCTTGGCTCAGGCCTTTTCTCTTTATCACCAGGACTATTGAAACTGCCTCCTGGAGACCAGCAGATGGTGTAATAGTTACATTGCAGGACTCTCACGTGCTCAACTGTGGTTCAAGTCCCAGACCTGGCAGCTTAAAACTCACACTGGGTGTGTGTGCATGCATATCCAGAATCTCAAGAGGAGAATGGAGGATAAGAGATTGTGGTATGCCATCCCACCCTGAGGGGTGATTTCTTGCTTTCTGTCTCTCTGGCGAGCATACATGCCCTATAGCAAAAATCTTTCTGAAAAAAAAAAAAATAACCAAAAACCAAAACAATAAAAAACCTCCTGACCTCTCCTCCCTGTCTACCAAATCTACCCAAACACAACAGCAAGATAGCTCTTCTTCAAATGCACTCTTACCAGTTCATTCCCTTCTCCCATGGTTTATCACCTTATCAAATAAGTCCTATTTCCTCCACCTGCAGCTGAAGACCATCTGGGGAGGGGCCACATGCCAGTCCTGGGATAGTGCCAAGGCCAGTCCAGATGCTTGAAATCACATGATGATGGGATGAGCTGACCTGAGTCTCTCTTTCTGCCTCACCATTCACATACCCTTTTGAAGCATACTGAACTCTCTTCACATGAAACTACCTGCCATTGTTAGAAGTCACTCTGCAAGTTTTTTTCTGTATTCCCTTATCCAGGTCTGGAGTGCTTTCTCCTGTGTTCTCTGAATCTCAGCTCTAGTGCAGTTCAGCTTTGCTCTGTATTCTCCAGGCTGAGGACCCAGATAGAAGGAGAACTGCCTTCACTGAGGTGCTACATGTAGTCAAACTCATTAGAAAAGAAGGGGTCTGAGTCTTCCTCATGTTTTACCAACACCCCCTTTCTCTGGCCTCCTTCTTGCCTCACTTTCAGTTACTGATTCCTGCCCTGCCTGCTCCTCCATCAGTAAGAAAATTCTTCCATTTTCTCTTATTTCACCACTACTGTTCCCCCAACCTGTGATATGTCTGTCACCTGCCACCCTGTGGTTAGTCAGTCACCTCTAGGAATCACAGTGTTGTCACCCTGAGCCCCAAGAAATACATAAATGGACACCTGGGGGAAAAAAGCTAAGAGCCATTTGGCTTCTCCCCATTCTACCATCTGTTTAACAGATAACTAGTTCCAGTCTGGGTTCAAAATGCCTCCTATTTCAGGCTCAGCACTGCCGACTGCCCAGGCCAGTTCAGACATGGGAGTGTACGATAAGGATGGGACATAATTATGCAGATCCCTAAGGAGTTAGGGATGAGACTTATCATACCTATGAGTGATTAACAATAGGAGGAAATCTGAATGTTTCCTTAAGAATTCCAATGGACTTGGAGCCAGGAAGTGGTGTGGTGGTTATGGGCCCTGGACTCCCACATGGCTGACTGAGATTTGAGTCCCAGACCTGGCAGCTTGCTGTCTCACTTTCTTTCTCTCTCTGTCTTTCTTGGTCAAATTAGAATAAACAAACAAATAAATAAATGAATAAATAAAGTTAAATAAAATAATTCTTTAAAAACAACAAAAAAGGAATCCTAATAAATTCAGACCAAGGTGTCAGACTTTCCTGTATCTTCTCATAATAAACAGTCTCTGATTCAAAGATAAATAGATCATTTAACTGTAAAGGGGGCATTGCTGTGTTATAAGGCACTTACAACAGCTCCCTGGAGTGGCTACTTTATAATAACTACTTGGTGTCTTCCTTTCTCAAAAGTCAAATTGTAACTAAAGTGCATTAATATATAGAAGGGAATATTTAGATTACATTATTCTTTAATATAATTAAAAGCAAGTTTTCAAAGGAGATTAAATATTCAACTGATAAATACCAAAACTATGTTCTGTAATCCAGACGTTAGAGCAGCATAAAGTTGTCATCCTATTATCTTTTGCTTTATTTTCCCATTAACATGTAATTTAATACAATTCCAATCTTCCTTCATATTAAAAAGCGAGCCAATTATTGCTCCACTCACGTATCCTATTTCTGCCTGATGTTTAGCCTAGAAGCTACATTAGGAATGTGGCTACATAAAAGAACAGCATAGAAGATAAAAATTTAACCAAAATGAATTAAATTTGATTATGCAACATGTTGATAACACATTCTCATTTTCACTGTACAGGATTCAATTTCCTGATGTATGCATGAAAATGTTTACATTACCTCTTATAAATAATATCATGATAATAACAAACAAGATAATAATGTACTGTAAATAATGGCAATACTAAAAAGTGCAATGTGGACTTGCATTATATATATGCTTTAATAAGTCTATGCAACATATAATAAATATTTATTGGTTGGTAATTTTTCTTTGTGAAAATGAAGTAGCAAACACAAAATGTGAAAAGCATCTTAGTTTTCTAATTTTCAGCTGTTCATGACACTGTTTTGCTATTAAGCAAGAGAAAACAGTGGTGATAGTCATTTTTATTTTACCTACAACTGTCTCCCCAAATTCATAATAGAATGGAAATGCACATTTTCTGTTGGATTTGGGAGACTATTGGCCTGCCTATTCTAAAGTGTTTATGTACTGTTGGGGCCAGATGGTGGTATAGCAACAACAAAACTGGACCCATATGGGAAGGGTCTGTGTCTGTCCTGGAGCCTTTCCATGCATGTTGGGGATGCACATGTGCACATCGGTGCTATCCTGGCTGGCTGAGTCTGGGGTGGATCCTGGTACAAAGAGCCTGTTTCTCTCTGTCTCTGTCTCTATTTATCTCTCATGGAAGGAGTAAAAGGAAATAAACTTGAAAAAGTATGTTGCAAATGTGGATAACATTTGAATGTGCCACTAGAATTCATGTATTGAGATTTGTTGGGATGGGGTTAAGAGGGTGAAAACTTAACATGACTGGTATTGAAAGATGTGGCCTTTGGGGGGGAGATTAAGACTGAGGTCATTAGGGTGGAATCCCCATGACTCCTGTTGACTTTATAAAAAGAGGAAATGAGATCAGAACAGAGGGATGCACTGGACCCAGACATACTTGTTTCTGCTCTCATAGCATCTGATGGCCTCAGGGTCCCATCAAGAAGACCCTCACTAGGTGTGACCTCTATGCCCTGGACCTTCAACCCATGAGCTGATAAACCTCTATTTATATAAATCAGGTATCTTTCTTATTAGCAACACAACAGATTAGAACAAAAAAAATTAAAAACTATACAATAAGCCAATTTTTATGGACAGGCACTATGTGCTAGGCACAATGCTACAGGCTTTACCTGGGCAGTCCTTTCTAATCCTCCTCATAGCCCTTTAAGAAAGCAATGTTGAAAACTGAGAAAACTGAGACTAGGTGAATAGGCAGGGTAGTATTCCT